ATATATAAATAAATTATAATTGTCTCCTAAAACTTATTTCATGCAAGATAAATTATTATTATTAACCGACTTCTAAAAAAAGTAGGAGGTACTCAATTCGACTGTTTTTTTTTAAAGTGTGGTACTTCAGAACTTTTTTCTAAGTAAACCGATTTTAATGATTCTTTTTTTATGTGGTCCCATAGAAAGATTAAGATCTGACCAGTAGTTTTTTTTTTATAGGATAAGGGTGACAAACGAGCACATAGTCCACCTGATGGTAAGTGGTTGCTGTGGCCCATAGACATCTAAATCTATCTTCGATTACGAATCAAAATGCAGATGCGTTGTCACCCGTGAGGACTAAGATGGAATGCCTCTTTTCCAGTAAAAAGGGAGACCCGGTTCTCTACACTCACCATACGAAACACAGCAGCATTAACTTGCTATTTTACGCTGGTATTCTGTGAGAGCGTGGTCCTTCCCCGGTCGAGCCGACCCATTCGTGCTACAACTATACTACTAATATACATGCAGCATGTCTCTACCACGTGTGTGCAGTTTGGTTCAACTTGAGAGATAGGATAGTTTTTATCCCGATAAGTGACCCTCAGTTTTTTTATTGCTTATCTCAGGAGTTTTTTTTAGTAAAGCATATGATCGTCGGAAAGGGCAGAACAACATCTGCCTGGCCAGCTAATATAATATAATTTATAATGTCATCGTCGTGTCAATCATCAAAACCCATCATTAGCCCAATGTTGAAATACAACTTTCTACCAATAACAACAAAAGAACAATTAAACTAGGTACTACTCACTCCAACTTTAATCTGTATTGCTACAATAGATAAAGCCGAGATTATTTTAGCAGCTTTTAGTTTAATAGATCTTTATGTGTCTATTTCCACTGCAGTATCATCAATATAATGAAAGTGGAGCAGTTAATATAAAAGCGCTAGAGCTTTGCGGTCAGAAACAACTAATATAAAGAGATAATGAGATAAACATTAGTGCTTTTGCATTTATATGATCAAAATCTTATATCTAATATTCTAATTTTCGGAAGTTAGCAATAGGACTGTGATAGTATACGTGGTAGAGCCATGCTGCAGCTATATTATGGTTGTAGCACGAATTGCTTGGCTTGACCGGAGAAGGACCACGCTCTAACAGACTAGGTATCTGAGACTCGGCACTGATACTCCTTCTTCATGTAGGGGCGTACGGGAAACACATCGTACGCACCCCTCGAGACCTTAAAAGACGACGGACAGTCCCCGTGTCCGCCACCTAAGCCTCAATTATGGTGGGTGTAAGAGAGCCTGATATGCTCTCTTCCGGCGCCCAACTCTCCGGCTGCGGATCGGAGTGTCTGCCGCTCTTCCTCTCTCCCTCTCCGCAGCCTCCTTCCGTGATATCACTTATTCGCAGAAGATAACGCCGGCGCTCCACGCCCTTTCGCATTCAGCCATAGCTTTAATTAAAGCTAGGAGTGAGAGGTCGTCCCCCACTACATCCACAAAGTCACGACACAACTCAGATCACGCTGGGCAGTCCTCAAGGGTATGCTGCGCCGTGGGTACGTTGCAACCACAGTGGTGACATTCAGTTGTCGGCTCTCCTCCGACACAGATACTTACCAAACACCCATGCTCGGAAAACACATGCACCAGCCGGAAGGTCAGTGAATCGTGCCGCCTGTTTAACCAGTCTGGCAAGACCGAACGAACGGTCTCGACAGTCCTGCTTCCTGCATTCGGGTGTGCTAGACGCTCTTTCCACTTTTCAAGCATGAGCTGCCCAGCGTGTGAAGCTTCCTAGTGTAAGTCAATTTTACTATGCCTATAACCTTCGCGCAAGTGCAAGCAATAAGTTGACAAGTTTTAGCACAATCTGATGAACGGTATGGCAGCGCATAAAATACAAAAATACAGACATTTACTTTTATATATTAGTTATTTCCTCATAATTTAATAACTCTTGAAGTCTGAACTTCTGAACATATAGTGTATCAAAGAAATAAAAAGCAATGCCGGCCAACAAATGCCGACCACTATCGAAACTTTCGTGATGAAACATCAAATTAAAACTTTTACTGGAATATTTTTTAAAGGACCTAATTAAAAGGTTCGCTTTTCCGAGTTCTTCTATGTTACATGTACCGAAAGTTAAAATAAATATTATGAAAGAGCTGTGTCTGCGATATGTCTGCGACTTCTTTTGCATTGAATATAATTTTAATACTTGTGATATCATTCCATATGTATGTAACAGTGTACTCATTGTTGTGAGAGCCTAATAAAATAAATAAAATAAAAATAAAAAGCGAGATAGGTACTCTAAAAATATTATCAAAAATATATATAATCACAGTGAATAAAACTGGAGAAGCTTCATACAAGCACCCTGCAACACACACACACGCATAAGCGTGGGCTTCACCTACAGTAAGAGAAAGAGAAAATAACTATTTTTGCCGTCGCGGGCAATGCGTTATTTTTTCTTTTTTCTGTTATTGCAGGTCAACTCCGCGCTTGTATGTGTGTTGCAAGATTCTTATTAGCTTCCATAACGTAGTTAATTCGGATATTGTCCAACACATTATCATCCAGATGGAGAAAGTGGCAGCTGTGAGCGAAACCGAATCTGATCCCCGCGGGCAATACTGAATTTTTTTATCGAAATTTTAAATGCTTGATAGGCACTAGCTTGATAATATATTTTGAAAAAAGCCTGTGCTGGGAATTGGTAAGTTTCTTTCTAAAAAATCAGCATTTAAATTTAAATAAATATTTTTTATCGGTGATGGCAGTAATCGAGCCCGTGTTGCTAGTGTACTGTGAAATTCACAGCAAGCGCTTAACCCTTAAACTACCACGACTATACAAGAGACAAATCATGAGTCTTAGGAATAAAATACTTCCAGAAGATCCACCAACATCCACTGGAGCAGCGAAGCAAAATAGTTGCTCTATAGCCCTCCCAGAAACTTGGTTGTAACTAGTTGGTTGACTTGGTTGACTTACTGACGGTCAAATACAAAATTGTATGTTTTATTCATAATAATATACAAAGAGAATATAATCACTACGTTTAAGAGGCGGGACTTCCATAGTAAAAATAATTGCATGAAATTACGCCAAGTTACTCTACCAACATCAAGATATGACATTTAGTTTTGAGAAACAGTGCTGACAACATTGACGAATTACAATAGTGCTGTAAATGTCTATCCTCGAATAATTTTATCGATACAACGTTTATCGATACATTGTTTATCGATATATTTACATAAGAAAAGTTAGATCTCTATAGTGAATTATTTATGAGAAATAAAATTTTTAACGTGTGGATTGAGTAAAAATGCCGATGAGGATAAGAAATCAATGTATTTTACACACAGCAATTTGTATTTATATCTCTACAATTAGGTACAAAAGTATGTATAAAGAAAATATAAAATAAAAAACTTTTATACTAGTAATTAATTAAGTAAAAAATAAATGACGACTCCGTAGCGCAGTGGCTAAGCGTTTGGCTGCGGCATTGCAGGACCGAGGCTTCCTTCCCGCACTGAACAATTGTTGCTATGTTGTAAAATAAATAGTCTGCATCTGGATTCTTGTTTTCAACTTTAGTTTTTTTAAGGGTAAAAGTATTGGGTTTTTAATACTGATTGGATTAAATTGCTTTTATGTGTAACAAATACTATGTACAAATCGCTAGGCTTCTTCACAGAGGCACCTATGTACATACTATTCGCAGAGATCGTTTACTAATTGTCGCATTCAAAAAATAAGTGCTCATCATAGCTAATGTTTATTGATGAATAAAATAATGATTTAGTTATATAATATAATTCTTGCCAAAATGTGACTTTAAAGGGATATTATCTTTTGCTACATGTAAATGAAACTTAATTAACATACACATAAATTGTGGAAGTTTAAAGTAAGTCCACTAAAGAAATAACAGTCCGTTTTAGTTGGGTTCATATGCAATGTTTGTCACAAATATGTCTTAACATGTGAATCTTTTCAATTGGTGCATGTGCCAGCTATTTCACCCATTGCTTGCATCTGAAAAAATAATATAAATAAAATCACATTATTATTGAACAAATAGAATGTTAGCAGTCAAAATTGACTTGTAGTTTCTAAGTATAGTACGTTTCGGATTGCCAAACCATCGAACTATTTTACTACTAATTTAGGAAATAGTGTGTTTGTATTTGTGCACACAATCGTACACTATAAAAACATGTGCTACATAGATGGCTAGTCCAAAAATATACTCGCGTTGAATATCATATTACTATTAAAGTTGAAATCACCACATACCTTTCATCATCTAAGGTAAATATTGTTACGAATAGCCTTTTCTTGTTATCATTTTTTCCGCTTCTTGCACCATGTAATTGGAAAGTTTTATAATGCATATTTAATTTCTTAACAATTCTGTAAATGAACAACGGCTCCTATAGCAATATTAAAAGCAATCTTAATTAATAAAATATATACAAATATAATTGTTTGATTTGACATTTGAACCTATTTCATTTGACAATGTCGTTAATAGACATATCACGAAAAGCATAAAGAAGAGTAACCCTCATTAAAATTTGACCCCTGTAGTACATATAATTTTTACTATGGAAGTTGCACCAGCCTGATAATATATGTAATATGTCACGATTCATTCAAAATAAGTATTAAATATGTATTGAAAATCACTGCTAGAGAAAAAAAACCTGTTTAGAGAGTTTATTTTGCAAAGTTTTAGCTTTAGCTTATATAGCTAAATTACAATAAGAAACTAATAGTAAATTGAAGACATTTAAATTCAAGCATAATTGTCAAAACTCAATCAAAATAGAACAAACATTGATATATAATAAAACTTATGTATAACTTATATACAAACAAAATAAATCTACAAAAAGTTAAAGTAGAATTTAACTTTATATAAAACATAACGTCGACAACTATAAATTTGTTCCATCTAAATAAATGCATTAACTCAAAAGTCTAGATTGAATCCAAAACCAAGTCGTACTCGCCTTTGTCCGTCTATTAGAGTGCTTGCCACAAGACGTAGAACTCTGATTTCGTTTGGTGATTCTCGAAAATAAACATCTTTTTGAAATGTGAATCCGCCACATCGCTGTGTGTCGACAAACATTTTTAATTCTGAACCATTTTCGTATGATTTATGAAGCGCAAGTCCAACAGTTACTCGAGCTCGATGCCCCTCGTTAATTATTGTTGCTATTCGTAAATCTTTCGCAAACTTCTTAAAGAGACACACTTGAAAGCCCACTTTACTTATTGTAGATGACAATGTAAAATTTGGCTTGCTATATCTTGCACTGATAGACAGCTCAGGCAATACTGGATACGATAACGGCTTAAAACCTAGCTCAGTACCAACACAAAAATCAGGATGCACTTGATACATACATTGTGTGACCGTTTTCAGTGTCTTCGGATCCATATCGTTCATTCTAAATGAAAAAGAATTTATTGATTTATCACCTTCCCTTTCAATTTCTACTTCAGTCTCTGACGATATAAGGTCTTTGATTTTCGAAGTAAGTCGGACTTGATACGCTCCTTCAATGTTTTCTTTATACGTCGCCGTTGCTGAGCCAGTAGAGTCCAATAATAAGCCATCATTAATAAGCTTCGTTTCCATTTCATTATTCAAGTACTGCTTGTAGCTGTGATAGTTTTCTTTCGTTTTTCCATAATTATATTGCTGCACCAATTTAACTTTGTCCATTATTTGTCTTAATATGACTAGCTTAGTACCAACAAAACACTTTGGAAACACATTCTTAGCTTCCGTATGTATGTCACTAAGTCTTGACAGTTTGGTCTTGATAGGTTCAAATACAATGATATCCTTTTTCTTCGGCAGTAACCGTTGTAAACTGGAAACGAAATTACTGACCTCCGTCTTAATCATGTCCTCGTTTATGTCCATTGTTAGTTTTGTAAATTCGTTTTATTTGTGGAGTAACAGGCCAGACGTCATTGACCTGTCAAGCGATATTTTTAAATGCCGCCGAGTAAACGTTCGGCCAGTCACTAGCTTGGCGTATAATTAAAATTAATTTGAAAACGCTGCACCAATTTTTTATCGAATATACAAAAAAATTTAGAAAGGAATAATTAATGTTATAGAAATAAATCATGGTATATCGATAGATACAGATTGCTTGTGCTTGCTTGGGGGAGGCATATGTTCTGCTGTGGACTTGTGAAGGGATTCAATGGTGATGATGATGAAATAATATTTGTTACGACTATATAAAAATTTGTAAAACAATAATTGTTTTAGTACGAGTTACGAAATTTATTTTCCTGTTTGTTCGTAACATGTTTACATTACTACATTTTAATAATAGTAAATGTTTTCTGTCCTATCTGTTCCGAGTCCATCTTCCTCTTGCAAGGAAATCCTTTTAAGATATTGCAATAGCAGTGAGTGGATGAACGTAAATGTATTGCTTTACCGAATCGTTGTATAAATAATTAAAGTTTTATTAAAAAGTAAAATCTGACTTCAAAACTAAAAAAATATATTTCCTAATAATAACTTATGAAGCCGATGCTAAGATATAGTGTATATAATAATTAAATCCCAGACTGCAGAAGCTATAATATGAGAACAAATTTGTTTTATTTTTGAAGTCTTTTTATACTTTTAATTAAAAGCTAAATTATTTTACCTTTTTAAATGGTCTAAGTAATATTTCATGTACCTACAAGTTAACAACTAGAATGTCGTTTAAATAAATGGTACTTCAAAATCTTAATCCAGTACTTTTCCACCCTTAGGGATACAATGTTTTCTTTAAATTATATGGGGTCAACTCTGAACTATGAACTGTTTAATTATAACTTTCTAAGGAATCGGTGAACCTCCATAAAAACACACGTCGATTTTTTGAAAGGCAATTCGTCTGGTGTTGTAGTTGTTCCAGGGCGGTGAAATACACTTACCATCAGGTGAGCCGCATGCTCGATTGCTCCCTATTATTAAATATATAAAAAAAAACTAACTTCACAAAAACACTGAAGTCAACGTTACCACTTTATTTATTTGGAATAGCTGAACGTTGTGAGTGCTCAATACGTGTCCCAATTCCATTTAATAAACATACGAGTACAAGTGTTGTTTTTATCGTTGTATAACAGTTCAGTTACCTACGTAATATGTACTAGCGATACAGCGATACTAAAACAATTTAAAGTCGATTCGGTGATTACCACTTCTCTTAATTCAAATTCATTATGCCAATTTATTCAAACGACTAGGCTACGTTGCAACCTAAGTACTTAGTACCTTAAAAGAATATTAATAGTTTTAATTTTAAAAGTACAATAAATGCATATAACTATTAGAATATAAAACTTTAATGACGCGTACAATTCCCGAACTTAAGGAGGTTTTTTGTGGTAATTTAGTAACATTTCTTATTTTCCTTTCTTTTAATTACAGGTAGTTTATATTTAAAGAATTATAGATTACTTATTTTTATAGACTAGCAACCCGCCCGGGCTTCTCCTGGATAGGATCTATTAATATGGCGTCATTTATATTGAAAATAATCAATGACCATTTATTTCAACAATTTTTCGTTTTTTCTAAACCAGGCTTCATGTTTTTCAAATAAGATCGCTCCCGGCATTGCTCTAAAATCTGTTCTTAACTATACAATCAGTTCAGCCATTCCAAAGATTAGACCAGACAGACAGACAGATAAAAGTATTAAAAATGGTTGTTGATTTTAATTTAAAAAAAAAATAGAATACAAATAACACCTTGAGCTTAACAGCAACCAGTTATTTTAATATTATTCAGACACATTTCAGTTTTATTTATATAGTATAGATTGTATTTTTAGGCAGTTTAACAGATTTAGAGGCTTAAAGATATTTTATTCAATGTTCAACTTCTTGTATGTACGTCCATTTCGGATAAATAAATTTATTTCCTTTCCTTATTTGTTTTAGCTTAGAGAGTCTGTTTGATCCCCTGGATATTTAATTGGGAATGACCCATCGCGATTAATAGACCCTTTTTACAGGCATTCCATCTTAGTGCTCAGAGATAACATACATATACAAGTGGTACCTATATACATGTTTATGGGTGGGTTTTGAAATAAACTACATTTTTACTGAATTTAGTTATATTTTTAAATACTTGAAATAAAATAAATAAAACAAAAAAAAATAAAAAACAGTCCGCTCTGTGACAATCACGTAGCAAATACAAAGAGGAGATGGCATAAGCAACTGTGCACTGTGATTCTAACTAGGTCCTGACGTCATCACAGGGGGTGTGGCTTTACTTAGTATACTGTCAGCGTTCGTTCTGTGTGATTATGTGTCGAAAATCGCAAATCGGTGTATTTTCGTAGTATTAAGGAGAAAAGGATGAAGTGTTATCTTTTATCGTGTAAAAACTACTCAGATAGACGCTCTGATGCTATGGATGGCATCACATTTCATTTGTAAGTAATTTTATACCTAATTTATTAAAAAGGTTCTCTCTCTCTCTCTCTCTCTCTCTCTCTCTCTCAAAGGTTCTCATTCAGTCCTAAATAATTTTTAATCGCCAAAATATTATTTTTATAGTTTTTATAATCATTTTGTGAACAGGCCGCTATCTATCGTTAAGGTAGCTAAACTACATTGCAACATCGATATGGAACGATGCGAGTAGTTTTACTTTTTATCGGAAGATGGAAAATAGTAAAGTGAGCGGGACAATCGTCGTTACTACTATATAATTTTTCCATACAAGATTGTATATTTCATGCATAGAGTAAAGGAATATTACGGGAAATCTTACCAAATCGTATACAAATAACTACGTTTCATGTGTCTATTAGCATCTTTGCCTCATTCTCCTTTCCCTCTCTTACCTTTCCCCACCATTAGTGCCTTTTCACACGCCTCGGATGCTAGGTAGCCGGTGCCGGGTACCTGGCGGCGAAGTATACAGATAGCCATGTTAGCTTTAACACGTACCGACGTAATTTGTCGCCGGGTACACGCCGGATCCACCACTGTGCGTCCGATCGCCACCTACCGGTTAGCCGGCGGCCGAAAGCACAGTGGTGTATGGAAGACGCGCATGCTTTCATACTTCCTATATATAAAAAAGTTCTCTGTGTTTCATACGCACCGACACAGCGGCCAGTCGCCCAGGTACAACCACGGAGAAAGGACGCTTTTGGATACAAAATCGTCTCCTGTGAAAGCTGAATGTGTTACCGGACAGTCGGCACCGGCTACCCGACAACCGGCACGTATGAAAAGGCACTTACTGTACCTGTCCCTCGATGTAACGTTCTACTTATTTCACCGTCTCATATTCTGTTCCTAAATGTGCCTACATACATATTAAAACTCACTTTATAATACATCTAAAGAATTATCCTTAAAAAACAGGCTATGAGTTATTACATCCGTTTTTTTTCGCAAGCAATTAATACCGACTTAACTGTTGGAATTTGGCAGAGCACTTGCAGTTCGTCGAAAGCTTTCATTTACTTTTTTGCAGTTAAACTGTGCGGAAAATCTTTAAGCCATTTAGTATTTTGTTTTAAGCTAACGAAATATTAACTTAAATATTCACATTAATTACTACCTAAATTTACAACTTATATATGTTCATTTATTCATTCTTCATAAAGTGTTTACGAACCAATCTATTCTACGTTATGGGGTAGTTCATAAACCGCCACTTTACCGCTAAGCAGACTACATCGCTCCAAATTTATTTCTACCTTTCCTAATGTTGTTATTCTTCATTAAAAAATTGAATTATATATTTCACGTTACTCAAATTAATATCAAAGCATATGGAAAAAGTCAAAACTTGGCAAAAATAAAAGCAAAAGGGATTATTCCTGTTTAAAATACAAACATCACGCTTCATAGCCGTGTTATAAAAGTAAAGAATACTGCTTTCAAAGTGGAATAAATTAAATTCTTCTCGCTGTAAAATTTTCGCGTCGGAAGCCATGATGAAGTGAGTTCACAGTTGTATTATAAATGAGCGTGCTTAGAAAATTTCAATTGGCAGTTCTATTTTATACAACAAATCGTTTTCTTTCAAATTGGATTTTTCACTTCAGTATTTCATTACAACCTGTCAAACGTCTTCTACTGAACATAATATACCTCTCCCTTATGTAGCCTCATACTCAATATATCCCTTTTTGCCATAGTTGACTGACGAGTTGGCAACTGCAGTTTTTTATTATTTTTTATAGTTATCAGGAAAATGCTGCTGTCCATTCTGCATCCGACGCTGTGTATCTGTTTTCTTTCCCTCTGTCGTCTCTTACATCACCTACGGGATATAAAGGGATAGTGACTTCTCTTACGTCGTAATATTCCCACACGGCAGTATTTAATATAATTATAATTTTCAAAGTGGTAGAGCCATGCTGCAACTATATTAGGGGCATAGTTGTAGCACGAATTGGTCGGCTTGACCGGGGCAGGACCACACTCTCACAGAAAACCAGCGTAAAATAGCAGCTTAACGCTGCTGTGTTTCGTATGCTGAGTGTAGAGAACCGGAGACCCTTTTTACTGGATAAGAGGCATTCCATCTTAGTCCTCACGAGTGACAACGTATCTGATTTTGATTCGCAAACGAGGATAAATGTAGATGTCTATGGGCCACAAGGTCGATAACGGATCCGCATTTTGATTCTTAATCAAGATAATAAAAGGATATAGAGATCACAACATCCACTTACCATTACGTGGATTGTGTGCTCGCTTCTCACCAATATTCTATAAAAAAAAAAACAGAATAGGTCCCCATCGAATATCAAATTAAAAGTATTCATATCTTTTTCACAGATAACAAAAAATAAAAGAAGCAATGTGGTCCGGCAAGAAGGGTTCGGAAGGCAGTGGCGCTGGCACACCAACAGCGGAAGAAGAAATCAAAGTGGTGCTCGTCGGAGACACGCAGTGCGGCAAGACCTCACTCGTGCAGCGATTTGTGTCCGACACGTTTATAGAGGTTAGTACATAAAATATTTTTTTTAACTGTCAACAAAGAATAATTGATAATACTTATTAATTAGTTAGCTGAAATACACTTTTTATTAAATAAGAGTGAAAAACGAACACACAGAACTCATGATGATAATTGGATGCTGTGTGCCATAGACATCTACATCTCTATCGTCGTCATCCCTGAAGACTAAGATGAATTCGTCATAAGAAACACAACACCATTATGCTTGTTACGAGTTGTTATACTTGTTGCTTCAATCAGCCGTCTGTGTAATTAGTTTTTTTTTTAACTTTACTTGAAATTAGTATTTTGATTATTTTTTTTATAAAATTAATACTAGTTAAGTGGCGACGTAAGAGAATCCACTACCGAACTTCCTGGATATGAAGGCCACCTACAACCATAGAGATAGTGCGGCAAATTCTCCTGTGAAGTGTATCGGGACAATCACTAATTGTTAAACCACTTTACACTTTATATTTGATGTCATAACGTCTATTATCGCAGGACGGTTGTGATATAAGACAATCCATTACCACATATCGTCCCGTTGGTATTATAAGAGGTGACTATAGGAAAAACCAAAAAGATACGACCTTGTAAACGGGACAGTTGTAGATGGGGGTACAACTGTCCCGTTTACACCAGGCGAAAAGTACTCAAACCAGTAACGGGGAGAAGTCACCGGTCAAAAGTGCGATATATCTGGTACTGCGAACCGCGAACGCTAAGTGTGCCGAACATACCAAATGCTCCCTACTACGAGAGAGGCCCATTTAGTAGTGAACTATTAAATGGGCCTCTCATAGTATCCTATCGGCATATGAGAGTGAGGGAATAGAGAGTGCTCCTGTGTGTGCATACACTCGAGAACTATAATCCTTTCCTGCACAGGTAGTCTGCGTTGGGAATGGTCGCCGTAACCGAAATGTGCTGATGAGAAGAATAGCCCACCATGTAGTGGCGGTGTAAGAACATCTACTGACCCATATCGTTCCGTGGCTGTCGTCAGAGACGACAGAAGAAAAAAAACCAGAACATGGGTAGCAGCGTCTTCCTTATACAACATAAAAATAAATATCTGCGGTTGCCACCCCGCCTGCCTCCACGAGGCAATTTATGGTAGAGGTCTTTGTTCAGTAGTGGATTTTTTTGATAGGCTATGGCAGTAGAGGTTACGGTAAGAAGAAGCACGTTTATTTAACATTTGCAAGTATGAGGACTGCCAAAAATAGTTTTATGGCACAAAAAACACGTGTTTAAACAATGAATTCACTGTTCGATTTTGGTAATGCCCCCCCCCCCCCCTTCCCCCCCAAGCCATAATCAAAAATAGTGAAACACTTTCACGCTATTATAATCTAGTTCTAATACGCAGTGACATTTGTCGACCTGTGTGGCAAAATATCACCAAAATAATTAATATGGAACCCCGCATAGTGCACTGACGGAAAGCTATAATTAGGTCGCGTTACTATTACTTGTGACCATGTGACAATAACGTACTCGTAGTTAGAGAGCATATGGCGAATAATAAATATTCAACGGACTTATTTAATCTTATGTACTTGTCATCTATACGCCGAAGACGATGGTCCAGAATTTTACTTGTAATTTATTCAATTTTAAACGATCCAAGGTAGCCTTGTTATCTTAAAGATAGCTTTCATTGTCTTCATTCGATCGACGGTCGAAGACCACGCCAATCAAACCGTCTGAGGATTAGTATTTCACAGCGCAGTTCAAATTTTTTCAGGTCTTTTACGGTGCAAGCTATCTTTGGAATTGACATCCCAATTATATTAAGAATGCAATCAATAAAAACTTTTAAAGTACTTCTGCAACAGCAATCTTATAATTAATAGAATCAGGCGTTACTTTGCGGAAATCCATTATATAAAAGCTTTTACGCCTTAACGCTGACTTAGCGGTTAGCCACCGTAGAGTCTATATCACCTGAGGATGCCTCGTGTAGAGGCGAAACACGTGTCGTATTGTCGTCAGTGGTGTGTCTTGCCTAGTGTAGTGGTGTTGGAAGTAGCGGTGCTGGGATTAGTGGTGACGGGGATAGTGCACGCAATTGAGGGAGGGCGGGAGGTGCTTCTTCATACTAGGTAAGACACATCATTTTATTTTATAACGCGGATATTTGCGAAGTAAATTTTTGTAAAAGCTTTTAAACAGCAATCTTGTCAACATTCCACATCTTTTTGAATTAATCAGTAAAGTGTGAGCATGTTATATTTTTTAAATATATTTTTATTGCTGGTAGACGCTGCAGTGTACTAATGCTTCGGCTCGACCGGGGAAAGACCATGCTTGTAGTGAATACTCGTACCAGCATCAAATAGCAGCATAATATTCGTGTGTTTATTTGGTGAATGAAGAGTACCGGAGACCCTTTTTACTGGTAAAAAGGCAAAAAAATGTGCCATCATTGTCCTCAAAGGTGCATTTAAGTCATCTTATTTCTTAATGGAGGATGAATGTAGATGTCTAGGTACTATGGGTCACAGCATCCACTTACCATCAGTTGGACTTACGTACGTTACCCATTATTAATTAAAAGAAAGAACATAGTATCAGCATTCAGCGCAGAACGGCTTGATTCATCGACGACCGAGTCCTCTCCAATCGGCTTGATTCACTGACGCTGCGAAGAGATGTTGCATCCCTTTGAATTTTCCTTCGCATCTCTCACGGGGAGTGCTCGGAAGAATTACTTGGATTGATCCCAGTCGCCAAATTTCACGAACGCACATCGCAGCAAAACTCCAAATACCATACATAACATCTGGATGCTTGGTGGTCGACCACTGTACGTTTTACTAGGAGTATTCTTCCCTGTACGACCACTCTCTGTGGAATAGTTTACCACCAGCGATTTTTCCAGACCTAGGGATCTTCAAGAAAAGAGCTTACTCCTTTCTAAAAGGCCGGCAACGCACCTGCACTTCTCCTGGTGTTGCAATCGTTCATGGGCGGCGGTAGTCACTTACCATCAGGTGAGCCGTATGCTCGTTTGCTCGATCTCCTATTAAAAAAAAAGTTAAGAGTTTCTTAGGATAAACAGGAATCCAAGATCCCCATACTAAGTGTTCATCAATCGTTACTAAAGGATCTAATTCTTCTTCGCTAGCCCGCCAAAATCCACAGGAGATATGGCTGCTAACCTCGTTGGGAAGGTTTTCCGTAATCGTTAGACTTCATCACATACATTGACGATGACAGTACCAGACAGCTCTCTCGTACCTTTGACGCTGCTCCCACGCTACTGTGGGTAGTTTATCCCTACCAGCGGAGGCCATGATTTGAAATTTCCCATAGTCGCTTTTTACGACACCCACGAGATGGCACAATTCAAAATTACTTTATATATTATTTATTATAAATTACTATTTTTAACCAATAACACTATGTGAGTGTCTTAATAAGACTTTATTCAATATGAATATAAACAATAGTAATATTCTAGTGTAATTTATTTATATTAATGGATTTTGTAACTGTTAAATAACATAAATAACAACACATACAACTCATTACTCTTTATTATACAACAAGGAAAGATAAAAATAACAAAACTAAACAAATATTGAGGGAAAAATATAAGGCGGTCTTCTTGCTACATAGCAATATCTTCCAGACAAACTAGAAATAGAATTAAATAAAAATAAGATAAAGATTAACAGGTCTAAAATGAGAAAGGATACCAACTTATGCACTAAACATATACTCTAGTAATAATGACCATAAATAAAACAAGGAAGAGAGGGGGGAGGGGGAGGGATCGAGTGACAAATAGTGTTTCTTAACTTTTTTTTTGAACTTATGTAAGGAGTATCACTTTTAATCGACTGGGGTAAGGAGCTCCAAAGTCTTACTACAAGAACATAAAAGTAACTAATGAAACAACTCCAAAAGGAAGTAAAAAAGTAAAGTGTTCCGAGAGGGTTATGGAGAGAGATAATTAGTGCGCCGCGCTTCATACATAGGTATATGAAATAAGTTGTCTTTTTTGTTTCTTTCTATATTTCCATGACTTCACATGTCTGCGAATTATTTTTTTACCTCAGTCATGCGGAATTCCCGAAGATATTTTCCTTCACAGCCGATCATATGTAAAAATTAACACCTTAACTTGGGTAGTTCCATATGCATTTATGACGTCTCATCCTACGATATTTATAACTATACTAGAATTATTTTGTGCGTGCAGTTTGGGTCATAAATCATCGGAGTATTTTGCTTTCTCACCCACTCACGGGCCACGCATAGGGACGAGCATAGTGATGCGCATTATTGTTGTCGATAAGCGTTATAACAATTTTATTAGTTCCCGATTTTATTACGAATTTTATTACCCGATTCTTACTCGGCTATCGTACTGTATACTGTACTGTGTAATACAGTGGGAAAGTAAAATGGAAGATGGGCAACAAGCATCTTACTGATAACAATTCAAAATAATAAAAACCGTGGCTGCCAACACGCATACTAAGTGTGGTAACTATAGCATAACTTAAATTAAAAATAATGATTTCTTATATTTACCCGAACACTACACATTGAATAAAATTACTTTTACGGATTCTATCGTGTTTAATTACCCTATTCTTTTTTATTGATTCCCGACGTTTCGGGTAAAGTATCCGGTTCTATAAAGCACCCGAAACGTCGAGAATCAATAAAAAATAAGTTAGTTAAACGCGATAGAATCCGTAAAGGTAGTTCTATTAAATTAATAATTTAAAAAACCTCCGAAACAAAAAGAGCTAATGATCTTCAAACGGCTAAAAAGATTTTCTAGTGACATAGGTAAGAATACTTTCGATTAAGACACCTTTCAATCGATAAAAACTTAATCAAATTAGGTTCATTCGTTCAGGAGCTATGACACCACAGACAGACACACCGATACACACTACAAACATATTATAACACCCCTCTGTTTTCGTCTGAGGTTAAAAACCCTCCATATGAGGCAATCTATGGGGGAGGCC